TGTTTTGATACTAGCACCAGGATATTGTTGTTAGGTTGTCTTAAACTTAACTTACTCTTACATTATTGTTGGGTTACTGAGTAACTCACTGATTGGTGTTTATGTCATCATCCTCATGGCATGTCACATTTCAGTCACCAGACCCCGCACATGACGGGCTATGTAAGCACATCTCCAGATTCTTACATTTCTTACGTATGCGTACTGAGTGAATGTCAACTTACATAATACATATAAAGAGGGGTTCTTTTGTTGGGCCGTGCTCTTATCACAGCACCTGGCAGCGGGTTTCCATTACTTAAATTGACTTGCAATTGGAGAGCGAGAGAACCCAAAATTTGCGCTTAACCCCAGTAACATAGTGGGGGGAGAGAGGAAGTGGTTCGCCGACAGTTCTTATACTGATGAGTTTTGTATATGATCGCATCTACCCTTTCAAACCATGAGAATTCTTGGTGAAAAATAAGTACAAGTAAGTGCCTACTTTAGTAAGGTTGTGTATACTTGTTCTTCAAGTCTTTTTTTTTTCCCTTACCGATAGTAATAACATGCAGTACATCCTCCCGTCTCCAATCTCTTTAGTGCTTCTCGTCTCGGGGTGTGTTTCTTCCTTTTTAGTTTGCCTCCCCACCAGAACTACTCTGTACTAAAAGAGACAAATCTAGAACTTCCATTCACCCTTGTTTTAGGACCGACACACCTGTTGGTCCTCGCAAATGCCATTCTGACCCGAAGTCCTAAGTAATTTCTTTCCTTTACCTCTACCTCTACCTTTACTCCGTAGTATAGCCGAGACCAATGCTGCGAACTAGCCGCCTTAGTCATGCCCTACTGCTTCAGCCAGGCAGTAGTTAACCACCGGATCACCGGTCAAATGAATCCAGCTCGCTAAAGGACCGGAAGCTGCACCCAGGGAAACTAATGTACGACCTTAAAGCAGACAAGGTCGGCTAATCGGTACGATGAAACTCTTCCTCTTCTTCTTTTCTTCTTCTTCTTGCAGCGACGAGGTGCAGTTGTACTGTGCATACCATCATACATACAATGCATACCCTAACGTATTTCGTCGCTCCTGTCTCATGGTGGATTTCCTCTGCTTCGGAGGTCACTTGCGCATTTGCCAAAAACGTATTGTCTGATCAGCCAGCCCAACAGCTAACCATCTTGAGCCAATTCAGGATCAATTGGAATTGTGAGAAGATCCAAGAAGGCTGTGTGCTAAATCCCTAACACAAACCAACGGCGTGGCGTGCGTTGCGTTGCTCATATCCTTCTATCGCCTACAGGGTGATAATGATATGGCCGTGGGAAAGGAAACCAAGCTGTTGAGCGCAGGCCATGTTAATTAATCTATCTCAGCCTTGGATAAATAGCAAGTACAGAGTACAGAGGACGAAGTAGATCCTAAAGTAAAGTACAGTACAAAGTCATTAGTATGAGTATGTAACATACCGGTAATCTCACTACGTAACTTATCCACCCGGGATTTCCCCTCCCCCTCCGTCCCCCTCGTCTCGACTCCACTGGGCCGGGGCCCTTTTCCCCGATCATTTTTGGTACAGTACAAAGTACATACTAGACAAGTTACAAGTCCCGTCTACGGAGTACTATGTACAGTACTCTACTACTCAAACAAACTTGAGAAGCAAGTCACTACCTCTGAAAAACCACAATTATCGTTCCTGTCATGGTTTGGCTCGAGGCTAATTAATAGCATGCAATTCCTTGCTAAATTCAGGAAGGCTTCTGTTAAATTATCTGCGGAAACTGTGCCATTGGGTTAATTATTAGCCTTTAGACTTTTGAAGGTTCTTTTCCTCTCCGAGTCTTTTCCTCTCTTTACTTTTAGTCCTCTTAGCCAGCCAGCCAGTCAGCGCTTCTTTTCCTTTCATTGCCCGCTCATCCCCGTTCCTCCGCTCCTCTCGCTCGCTCGCTCGCTCTCTCTCTCTCCCTCTCTCTCTCCTCCTCTTCTCTTTGCCTTTTTTTTTTTTTTTTTTTTTTTTTTTTTTTTTTTTTTTTCCACTGTTGCC